GGGAGCCTGAGGATTGCTGGGGAAGACTCGAGGCTGGTCCAGTCCCTGAATGCTGTTCCCCTGCCTGCCATTCTGCCTTAGGTGAAGCTGCGCTGCCGGAAGGGAATACCCTCCTCCCTCAGAGCCAAGGCCTGGCAGTATCTGTCCAACAGCAAGGAGCTCCTGGAGCAGAACCCGGGCAAGTTTGAGGTGTGTCCAGGGTGTGGGGACATGTGACACTGGCTGAAGGATATCATCAGCTCCCCCAGATCCTGAGGTAATCGTTGCTTTCCCACTGCAGGAGCTGGAACGGGCTCCTGGGGACCCCAAGTGGCTGGATGTGATTGAGAAGGACCTGCACCGCCAGTTCCCTTTCCATGAGATGTTTGCTGCTCGAGGGGGGCATGGGTAAGGTGGCCTGGCCACGTGGGTTAGTTAGCAAACATTTGTTGGTGGCTCCAGGTGGATACAAGACAGTTGAAAGCAGTTCATGCTCTGCAGGACTTCTAGAAGGCTGGTCCTTGGTGGATTGAGTGTCAAGCCATATTGAGGGACGTGTTCTCAGAAGACTCTGACTTGCTGGGTGGGGCTGGGGGTCTGTTGTAGGGGCAAGAAAGGCGGCACAGCAAGGGCTCATGGCAGTGAGCTGGGCTTTGAAGGCTGGATGGGAGCAGAGCAGGGGGCAAGGTTTTCCTGCCTGTGGGGGTGGGGTGGGGGGTATGTAAACTGTGTTTGGGCAGTGAGGTTGGGTAGTTGAGGCTGGAAAAGTAGTTTAGGGCCAGATCACGAAGGGCCCTTAAATACTGTGCCAGGGCACTTGAATTTTTGTTTTTTCCCAGGCTTTTCCGAGTGTATTTTTACTGCTTCCCAGTAATATGCAAGTTGATCTTAGGTGGTTCTCGGATGACATTTTTTATCAACAAGTTCATCCTTTCAGCAAATACTTATTGAGCATCTACTATCTGCTAGGCACTCTTCTAGTCACAGATGACAGCAGTGAACAAGAGACAAAAACTCTTGCCCTCATGGGGCTTATTAAATTTTAGTGGGGATAGACAGTACGATGAAAGAAAATATGTTGTATGTGAAATAAATGATGGTAAGTGATAAAGAGGAGTTTAAGAGTGGACTAGAGAATGTGAATGGAAATTGGGGTTTAAGTGATTGGATCTGACTTTTATTTTTAGAGAGAGAGGAAGGGAAAGGGATAGATAGAAACATTGATGAGAGAGAAACATCATCAATGGGCTGCCTCCTGTACACCCCCCGTTGGGGATCGGGCCAGCAACCCAGGCATGTGCCCTGACCAGGAATTGAACTGGTGACTTCTTGGTTCATGGGTCTATGCTCAACCACTGAGCAACACCGGCTGAGCAGATCTGACTTGTATTTTATTTTACTTTTTTTGTTAATCCTCACCTGAGGATATTTTTTCCATTGATTTTTAGATAGAGTAGAAGGGATGGGGAGAGGCAGAGAGAGACACATCGATGTATGAGTGACACATTGGTTGCCTCCTGCACGGGGTCTAGGATTGAGCCTGCAACCCAGGTATGTGCCCTTGATCGGAATTGAACCTGAGACCCTTCAGTCTACAGGCCGATGCTCTAACCACTAAACAACTGGCTAGGGCTGACTTGTATATTTTAAAAGGTTCGTCCTGGCTGCTGTGCTAAGGATAGCCTATAAGGAGACAAGGACAGAAGCAGAGAAAACAAGTGAGGAGACTATTTCCATAATCCAGGAGAGATGTTGATAGATAAGGATCGTAGCAGTGGAACTACTGGGAGAAATGGTTGGATTCTGGTTATATTTTGAAGCTAGAGCCAAAAGGATTTGCCAGTCGATTAGATGTGGAGTGTGTGTGAGAGAGAAAGAGAAGGAGGAGTTATCAATGACTCTTAAGGTTTTTGGCCTGAGAAACTGGAAGAATGGAGTTACCATATGCTGATATGGATGGGGAAAACTGGGGGGAAAGTAAGTTTGGGAGGTATATCAGGAGTTCAGTTTTGGGATGTGTAGTTTGAAATACTTATTGGACATCAAGATGGAGATGTCAAGTAGGTTGGAGGTAAATATATATAATTATGGATTTCGGGGAGAGGTTTAAATTGGAAATAAATTGGAAAGTGAAGATCTGTCACTCTCTAGATGGGACTAAATCTCACCCATGGGACTGGATGAGGTTGTCAAGGCAGCAAGTGTATAAATGAAAGGAAGCTCAGAGATTGAGCCCTGCAGCTCCAACATTTTTAAGAATAGTAATTACTGAGATGAACCAGTAAATGAACTGGAAGAAGCTGGAGAGGTAGAAGGAAAACCAGGAGTATGTGATTCCTGGAAGCAAAGTGAAGAGGGGTTTTAGGATCAGCTGTGTGAAATGCTTCTGATGGGTCAAGTAAAGTCAAGTTGCAAATTGACCTCTGGACTAAAACTGTGGGCGGCCTTAGATCAGTGATGGCGAGCCTTTTGAGCTCGGCGTGTCAGCATTTTGAAAAACCCTAACTTAACTCTGGTGCCGTGTCACGTATAGAAATGTTTTGATATTTGCAACCATAGTAAAACAAAGACTTATATTTTTGATATTTATTTTATATATTTAAATGCCATTTAACAAAGAAAAATGAACCAAAAAAATGAGTTCGCGTGTCACCTCTGACACGCGTGTCATAGGTTCGCCATCACTGCCTTAGATAAAAACAGTTTTGTGGGGAACAGTGGATTAAAGCCTCGCTGGAGAAAGGGAGGAAAGAAATTGAAGACAGTGAGTCTATACCAGGGGTGGTGTAGTGTTGAGAAGACTGTGATTAGCCATGGGGAGGAAAGGAGGGCTTTCTGTTTTCTGATGTGGGGTTGAGTGGATGGAATTCCCAGACACAGTGTTGGGACACCCTCAAGGAAGAGGAGCAAGTCTAGGGAAGGATTTTATTCTTTTGGATGTAGAGACAAGAGAAAGGTCTAAGGCACACCTGGCTTCCCAAGCCTTCACCTAGAACCAGGGCCCGTTGGTGGTGGTGGTTTGGGAGGGGGGATGATACAAACATTCAGACTGTGCTAGAGGAGGACTGAAGCTGTGGCTATTGAAAGCTTCTGCAAGAAGATGACCTTGAAGGTTTATTGGATGCTGGCAGATGGAGAGAGAGCGAACACGGACTGCTGGGAATGGTAGGGAGCATGTGGGGTGTTGCAGGCAAGGGTGGAAGTCTGCAGCCTGGAATGTTTTGTGTGATCTGAGTCTTTGGTTTAAGCTTGATAGGCAGGACTAGGAAGGGGATTGAGGTGTGTGGTAGTAAAGCTCAGAAGTTAATCTGGAATTAGATTTAGGAGGGGTCTGGGCTGGGGCTGGAGGCCGGGCAGATTTAGTTTGGGGCAGAGAGCTTCCAACTCTTGTGCTTGCCCTCATGGTTTTTCCCGATACCCACAGGCAACAGGACCTGTATCGAATCCTTAAGGCCTACACTATCTACCGGCCCGACGAGGGCTACTGCCAGGCACAGGCCCCAGTGGCTGCAGTGCTGCTCATGCACATGCCTGCTGAGGTCAGCATACTGTGGTCCTGGTTAGGGAGGGGGTGGGGAGGATCTTAGCCTACAGTGGTGATGGGGGAGCTCTCTGCTCCATTTCTCAGGCCCCCTCCCTCCTTGTTTTTGCCCTTCTCAGCAAGCCTTTTGGTGCCTGGTACAGATCTGCGACAAGTACCTCCCAGGTTACTACAGTGCAGGGCTGGTGAGTACCTGAAGGCTTGGTACAACAGGCTGACTTTTCCCCAAGGCTGCAGGGAGGTCCTTGTCCTGCCCCACCCTCTGCCCTTCTGTCCCCTCTGCTCTGGGCCTCGCCCACTGAGGTGAGGATCCCCTGCTCAAGGGGCCACAGCAGGCCCCTTCTCATGGCTCATCTCACTTTTAGGAGGCCATTCAGCTGGACGGAGAAATCTTTTTTGCACTCTTGCGCCGTGCCTCCCCACTGGCACACAGGCACCTGCGGCGGCAGCGCATTGACCCCGTGCTCTACATGACAGAATGGTTCATGTGCATCTTTGCCCGCACTCTGCCCTGGGCTTCAGTGCTGCGTGTCTGGGATATGTTCTTCTGTGAAGGTACATTTGTGGTTTTCACGGTGCCTGCCAGGCGGTGATCTGCTGATAGAAGGTGCTTGTTGGGTCTGGGGGTTGGAACCTGAGGCCTGGTCTTGGCTCTGCCACTAACCCCAGAGCCTACTCTCCCTCCCAGGAACCTGAAACCCATGGTAGCTCATTTCCCATCTTGGGCCTCAGTTTCCTCATATGTAAGGTTTACAGTGTGCCGCACCAGCACAGCCAAGGGTGATCCCGAGTGGGGGTGGGGATGAAAGGATTAAGGAAAACAGACAAGAGAATGAAAGCTGGGTCTCGGTGGGACGCTGCTCCCTGATGAGGAGACAGCGCCGGCGCCCACAAGCCGTGACTTTATTTTATAGCAGATGCCACGAGGCAAAGTAGGGGCGTGATCACGTTGTTTACAGCATTCTCGTGAGTTTCAACCTCACTCAACTACATGCACCTAAACTCTAGCACAAGGCATGTGGGGCTACGTGTTTGGACCATAGGTTCAAGCTTACAACCACAGCCGTTGGCTATAATTGTGCTGGGAGGGCCCTGCCCTCCAGCTGGGACTTGCACGTGGCAATGAGAGGACCCTGTCCTTTCATTAGTCCGAAGCTTGAACCTGGCCAAAACGCCGTACCCGCGCCCCACATTACAGTAGATAGGGATGGGAGCTGTGAGTCCCTCCTACATGGGCACCCCACTATGAGCATGCGTGAGATCCCAGGCACGATCACCCGTGCTGTCTTTTCTCTACTCTGCAGGCGTAAAGATCATTTTCCCGGGGGCC